GTCTTTGTTGTGTGTTGTTTTCTCTCTCTCTCTGTGTGTGTGTGTGTGTGTGTGTGTGTGTGTGTTCTTTTGTGTGCAGGTCTCTCTGTGTGTGTGTGTGGTGCCTGTAGATGATAGAGGACAAGAGTGTCATTTATCAAGCATCATCTGACTTCCTTTCCCCACCCCCTTGTTTTCTTTTTTGTTTTTTAGACAGGGTCTCTCATTGGTCTTGGGGGGAAGGGGCAAATCCACTTGTCTCTCTCTGCTTGTCCAATGCCAGGATTACAACAGTGTGCCACCATGCCTGAGTTTCTAACATGCATTCTAGGAATCAAACTCAGATCCTCATGCTTAGAGAGCAAGCGGTTCACTGTCTAAGCTGTCTCCCAGACTGATTAATCTTTTACTATGAGTATCTACTTATCAAAATGTTTAGAATAGTATTAAACTACCTGTAACCAAATAAATAATTACATGGGTATCTTAAAAGCTGATTCATAAAGTGTTGGAATGACTTCTCCCAAGTTCTGGCCTCTAAATATGGAGTTCAGAGGGCTCAGTCCTCTAACATCGGTCTAGACACACTTCCATAGAATGACATTACTAGAGATGCTAGCTACAGACAACTAGCCTCGGGATTCATAACTATATCACAGCCCTCTCTCTTGAACTTCAAATTTTCATTGATCTTATCTCAGCTTGCTTTGCCTTTTGAATAGGCTCCCCTTGATATGTCCCAAGCCTCCCTCTCAAACCCTCTGCCTGCATTGTTTTCATACCTCAGTAAAGAACTGTGAGAACTACTCACTTTCTCTGAAATCCCATATCTGCCCCCCCCCCATGTCTCATCCCGGAAGACTTTAGGCTCATAATAGGGATTCAGTGGATTTGCCCTAGCTTCACCTACTCTAACCAGTGTCTAGCAGCTAAGAGGCTCTCTCTAAGGAGTAAATAGAATCATGACATTCTTATATCAAGGCCTTCCAGGGTATCCCCTGAGTGTGGAGTGTAAAAATAGACAATGGCTAGAAGTGCATAATCAGCAAATGTAGTGATTTAGCACTGTGCTCA